GGCCGAAGCGGCCCTCCGAGGCCGGCGAGGGAGACAGAGGGACCGCCTCCAGTTTTTGCTCGAGGCGCCAGATGCCTGAGAAGGGCCAGGGGCAGCAACGTTAGGGGGGGAATACATATATAACACACAATATATTGATTGTTTTTCATAGTTATTGCAATAGTTATTTGTGTAGTTATTATGTTGTAAAGTTTAAAGTTCAGGGGCGGATGCATCGACACCCAGTCGCCCATTGATCTCCGTGAGGGTCCTGATAGCCCACCCTGCCCCGGAACGCTTTCACCCGCTGCCGGATTCGGCCTCTCGCCGACCTCTCGGCGATGCACCGCCGATTCCAGCTCGATGTTCCCCCCCCCCTCCCCTCAGCCGCCCCCGCCCCCCTTCAGAGCCCCGAATCATCAGGGGTAACTAGGATCAGGGATAACTCGGGTTCGCTTTTTCGGGAATCCAAGCCCGAGTTACCCCGGGCCCGAGTTACCCCGGGCAACTCGGGCGCCCAACCCTTCGTGCGAACTGCCCCTCGCAGGGCGGCGTCGCGCTGGGCGCGCTGGGGCTCTTTCTCTGCATCCTCCTGGCCTGCGTGCTGGGGGGCGGCAAGGCCGGCCCGCCCGCCGGGGGCGAGCCGGGCGGCGGCGAGGGCGAGGGCCCCCGGCCGACGCCGCACCCGCCCTACGTCCCGCCCGGCGTCAGCGAGAGCGGGCGCCTGCCGTTCGGCGAGGGCGTCTTCTTCGAGACGCAGGAGCGGGGCGGGGGCCCGGGCTCGGGGCTCCGGCCCGGACCTCCTCGAGCCATGGGAAATCGGGAGCCGCGTAATGGGGGGGTCATAAGTGGGGGGGTGGCGAGCGTGGTCCGGAAAGGTACCCAGACGGTACCTAAACGAGCCCCCTGCATGGGGCTCTGGAGGGGCCCGAAAGGGGCACGAAAGGGGACCTTTTCTGACCCCCCCATTTGTGACCCCCCATTCAGCCCCGCCCAAGGAAAGGCACGGCGGGAGGGTTTTTTCTTGTTAGTCTCGGCCTCGGCGGGGCCCTCGCTGGGCCTCGCGACCGTCAAGAAACGACTCGGGATGAAACACCGGCCCCAGGGGATGGGTTTCTTGCTACTCTCGGCCTCTGGGGGCCTTCGCCGGGCCTCGCGACCGTCCAAAAACGACTCGGGATGAAGAACCGGTCCGGGGCAATGGGTTCGGACCATTTGGGGGTCGACGTGCTGAGAAAATCCTGGGGAATGGGTTTGGACCGTTGGGGGTCGACGATCGGAGAAAGTCCTGACGTGGGGGCTCCGGGCTCCGAGGCGGCGGTGTAGGCGTGGCCACCGCCTGGGGGATCGATCTTCGGGGACGTCGGAAGGCGGTGGATATGGACAGTTTCGGGCCCTGGCGAGCTTTGTTACATACACAGTTATATATGTATATGTATATATATACAGATACGTGAACGAGTTCGTGTGTATGTATATGTCTAACATACGATATGTAGCTACATACATATATATATAGACATATGTGTGTGCATCGATATCCATATATACATATATGTATATACGCAAACATATGTAGACATACATTCGTACGCATGAATATATATAGCCATATACAAAGCTATGTCCATATACAGATCCATGCCCATAGCCCAACCAATACATCCCCAAGACGAGAGTGTTTCCCTCCTTGCGCCCGTATATGGTGCCTCCAGCCTTTGCGGATCCATTTGAGTCCGCGCGGATCCGAAGTTGGTTTGGACTTGTGTTTGGGTGGATGCAATTTCCTGCCGCGCGGATCTGGTTTCGGATGATGTGGATCTGTTTGCCGTCCTGTTTCTTTCGGACGTATCCGATGTAGTTCTTGTTTTGGAGTTCTTAATGTAATTGAATCACGCGGCGGACGGACATCGGATCCGCGACGTCCAAGCCGGCCGCTGCCAGGATTTGATTGGGAAGGGGTTCCAGTTAGATCACGGGTTGTTTCACGGGCCCCATCAACCCTCCCCGCACGCGGTTCGCACAAAACATAACCACATCTCTACTAACCTGTGGCTATTACCATCATCTGTTACGGACAGGTCTTATCTTGTTTCACTGGCCCCATCAACCCTCCCCGCACGCGGCTCGCACCCACCATGAACACATCTTTGCTCACGGCTGCTGCAAGCATCTTGCCCAGACGTTGTGCGTCTGGCGCCGCCGATGCTCTTTCGCCGACCGCTTGTCGCCGCTGCCGCCTCAAGAGGAAACTTGCTCGTGCTGCGTAAGTGCGTTTTCGGCCTGCGTCTCCTGGCCCAACGAGTCCGAGAACGAAAACGCCAGTGCGTTTTCGGCCTGCCTCTCCTGGCCCAGCAAGTCCGAGAACCATCACGCCAGTGTGTTTTCGGCTTGCGTCTCCTGGCCCAACGAGTCCAACAACTAAATCGCCCATCCCCAGGACGAAAGGTTTCCTTCTTGGGCCCGCACATGATGCGCTTGGCTCTTGCGTCAGCGCGCATCGCAGAAGCACCAGCGGATCCAAGTGAGTCGGTGCGGGTCCGAGTGTGATTTGGATGTGTGCGTTGCG